TATTCATACACTTACTGGCCGTTTCATAAATCTGTTATGGAGAAATGTTTTCTCTGGTCTTTCCTCCACTGCTCAAGTCAGGTGATTCCTTTCCTCCCTACCACGTCCTGCTTCTCAGTGTCGCCTTTGCTCTGGGCTTCAGGAGCGGCTCTCTCAGGGCTCTGGCTGGGTCGGGATTTGGGTTTGTGGTCAGTGTTTGATCTTTTTGTCTTGGGTCAGCTGAGTCACCCCAGCATCCAGATGCTGGTCAGGGGACTCGGGTGCCACCTGCTGGCCACGTGGTGCCCTCTGTCCCTCCACACCTGGCTTTTGGATGGTGGCCGGCACTTTGCTGTCCCTGGAGCACACAGCTGGGGACAGGGCGGGGCAGCGGCGTGTGGCAGAGGGACAACAGGAGTCAGGCTGGGTCGGCCCCTTGCCCCTCGGTCCCCACTGCACCCCTGCCCGTGGCACCCGCCTGCCCCGGCTCCCAACCCGGGCTGTTCATGTCACTTGAGCCGGGTCTAAGGCAGCGAGCGGGACATGAGCAGGGGACCTGGGCTCAGCAGCCAGCTCTGCCGGACCTGTGCAGGGCACCAGGGGAGCTGTCCCTTTGCCCTGAGGAGCCGTGCCAGGGGCCCGGTGTCTCGAGGTGGTGTTAGGAAGGAGAGGACGGGGCGGGCAGGGGTCAGAAACCCAGCACCCTGGGTCAGCTCGGAGCTGGGCATGGGCGGGTGGCGACAGCTCCCTGCCCAGGCATGCGCAGTGCCCAGGGGCCTGGGGTCAGTGTCTAGGCAGGACAGCGCCGTCCTTCCCCGTTCCAGAGGCAGCAGGACGCGTCCCGGGTGACCAGAGGACCCAGCTCCCGGACGGGCTCTGTGTCCCTCCCTGCTCAGCGTGGGGGTCACCGTGGGCAGCACCCTGGGACCTCAGCAGGCCAGGTGATCGCTGACCGCGGTCTCCAGTGGGCATGGTGACCACAGCCACCTCCGTCCCAGTGTCACAGTGCTCCAGGGTGTGCGTCCCCAAGTGTTTTCAGAAACAGGAGCCCGGAAGGACGCAGGCCCTGAAGCGGGCGACGGAGGCCTTTCTGTTTTCCTGTTTTCACGGTGACTGATGTCACAGCCTAGCTGGTGCCCAGGCCAAGCGCTTTCCTGTCATGTGTGGTGCCGCCCGGGGCCCCAGTACCCCAGGCTCCTGTCACCATGGATCGGGAGGGTCCCTCTCATGAGCTGTCACCTCTCTGTCCGCGTGTGCACCCGTTGAACCATGGTGGTGGGCAGGGCTCCCATCGCCCGGTGACACGGGCTCAGATCCCTGTGGGGGTTACAGGCGTGGCTTCTTCTGGGGGGCATGGGAACTGGGTTTATCCTAAGAGCTGCTCAGCCGCACACTTTGGAAGGGTGCAGGATGACACGGGGCTGGGCTCTGACACAGGCCCGGCCCAGCTCCCCGGGAGGCTGAGGCAGGAGGATCCCAAGTTCAAGCCCGGCCTGGGCATCTTTGCAAGACCTGACCTCAGAACAAAAAAGGTACAGGGCTGGAAACAGCCCGGTGTGAAGGTCCTGGCTTCGGTCTGCGGCCAGCGGTGACATCTGCTCCTTGTGCTTGGTCCCCAGAGGCCTGGGGTCACTTATACCTGCCTGCCCCTCGGTCCCAAGCGATCTGGTCACCAGTCTGAGCCCCGCACTGCGCCCTGGCACCTGGGCATCTGCACCCGCTTTCCTGGGCCTTCCTTTGGTCTCTCCAGAGGCCCTGACCCACCCTCCTGGCCACTCATGGTCCCCGGGGCTTGTGAGCCATCCCGAAGGGACCCAAAGGCCAGCGTCATTGGTGGAGCTCGAGTGAAGGTCATGGAGGACCACAGAGCACCAGCTGGCACTGCCTGCAGCCTGGCTGCGTCTTGTGCCCAGGGACAGAGCTGCCAGACGCGGCCACCCATGCATGCCGAGCTGTCCTGCAGCCCCAGCTGGTCTGCGCTGAGGGAACCCCAGGGCCCCGCAGTGACCACTGTGGGCTCAAGGGCGGCCTGGGCCAGGACACCGGTCAGAGCCACCAGAAGATGGGGGCAGCCCTGGCATCCACAGAGGGACACACGTGGAGGCCGTCCCCATGCAGGGGCATCACACAGCCAGGCTGGGGTGCGGCTGTGACACTTCACAGCGTGGACAGACCCTGAGGGTGTCATGCATAGTGAGAGACACTGGACTCTGTGGTGTCCGTGGACAGGAAACGCCAGAGACAGGATGTGTCCCCTCCCCAGGGGCAGGCGGGGGCAGGTGACCACTCACGGGATGGGGCCAGCTTTTTGGGGTGATGCCATGCTGTGGGTGATGCCATCACTGCACACCGTAGAGTGTGCCACCAGCCAGCAAACTCTGTGCATATTATTTATGTTGCAGCGCTGGGTGTCGGATCCAGGGACTCTGCCCTGAGCCCCATCTCCTGGCTCTTTTTATTTTTGGGAAAAAAAAAATCATCGTAAATTGCACAGCTGATACTGAAGTTAGATCCTCCTGCCTCAGCCTCCCCAGTAGCTGGCATGACAGGCGTGTGCCACCACTCCTGCTTGAATTGCACCCTCTGAACAGCTGTTATGTGCACACTGAGTCTCAAAGCAAAGCACCATGGGACCACCCTTACATTCAGTCTGTACGCTCGGTGTGCAAAACCGGCCTCTCTGCGTGGTGCTATCACGTAGTTTTGTAGTGTTGTTAGAGAAGCAGGACAAAGGTACAGGACCCCCCTGTCCTATCTGCAGCTTCCTGTGAGCTGCGGTGAATTTAAGAGTTGAAAGAATTGTAAATCCCAGCACCCAGGAGGCTGAGGCAGGAGGATCACTGCATGTTTAAGGCCAGCCTGGGCTACAGAGTACGTTCAAAGCTATCAAAGTGAGCTAGAACTACATAGTGAGACCTCGCCGAGAGAGAGACAGAGACAGAGACATAGTTCCCTGTAAAATGGAGGGGTAGTCTTGGCCTCTAGCAGCTCTGTGAGGATGCTGCTCCAGCCCTTTCATCATGCATCTCCGGTGACAGTTGCTGTCAGGGCCATGCATCCCTCTTGCCTCAGGGACCCAGCAGCACCAGTCCCAAAGGGACAGTGCCTGGTGGAGCTAATCCTGCAAGGGCCAGTTAAGACATTTCTGCAGCTTGGGCGCCACCTGCAGTTGGCAGTGAGTATTTCAACAAATTAGCGTGAGTTCAAAGAAAGCCAGTCAGCGGCTTTATTTATTTAAATTGGTATATTTGGTGCTGGGAATTGAACTCAGGACTTTGCACCTACCAGGCAGGCGCTATGCCACTGAGCTATATCCCCAGCCAAGCCAGCATTTTTAAAAAGAAAAAAAATTAACTTTTTAAATAAAAAACCTTTTTTGCCGTACTGGGGATTGAAATCAGGGCCTTTCACTGAGCTGTAGCCCGCCCTTCTGCTCATTTTGAGGTATGGTCTCATCAAGTTGCCCGGGCTGCGTTTGAACTTGCAATCCTCCTGCCTCGGCCTCCTGGAATGCTGGGATTACAGGTGAACACCACCATTCCAGGTCAGGAAAAAAAAAAAGTTAAAACAGGCGTGGTGGCACATGCCTGTCATCCCAGCGTTTGAGGGTGTTCAAAGCCAGCTGGCACTAGAAATCGAGACCCTACCTTAAAGAAATAAAATAAAAGGGGTTGGGGATGTAGCTCAGCGGCATAAGCGCCTGCCTTGCAAGCAGGCAGTTGTGAGTTCGATCCCTGGTACTGATAAAAAGGAAAAAGACAAAAACTAAATAAATAAAAAAATAAAATCGCGATGTTATGTTAAATGAACTTTTAAGGTGCTGGAGATGGAACCCAGGGCTTCGCGCATGCTAACCAAGTGCCCCTAAAATGAGCTCTCCCCCCCCCCCCCGCGCCAAATGAGTTTTTAATGTTAGCATCATTTTACACTTCCAGGAGTTACAGAGTACATCAGAAATTCCGGCCAGCTTTGCGGGATGTTTTATGATAGCTGCGGTCCTCAACTTTTTTGGCGCCAGGGACTGGTTTTCTAGGAGATGATTTTCCCACGGTGGGGGCGGGAGTAGCCCCGCGCGTGCGCAGTTCACAGCAGGCCGCTACAGTGCGGATTAGGGGCGGAGCCGATCCTGCAGGGGGCGGGGCTTGGCGGTGACCCGGTGGCCTGGAAACAGAGGTGGCTCTGATTTCTGCGCACCTCCTGCGCAACTGAAGCGTTGTACTTGTATCGCAGCTCAAGCTAGAGTTACTGAGCACTGAATATATTAAAAAAGCTTTATAAAAAAGATCTCATTGAGTGGCGCCTGGTGGCACATCCTTGTCATTCCAGTGTTCAGGAGGCTGAGGCAGGAGGATCAAAAATTGGAACCCTGAAGCCACAGCATAGCAACCTAGCCAGACCCTGTCTCGATACAGGAGAAAGGGCTGGGGGTCATGGCTCAGTGCAGAGGCCCTGGGGTCAGTCCCTGGTTCCACTCAAGAAATAGGTCACCTCCTTCTGGCCTTAGGGAAGGCCAGCGAGGCTGGGTGTGGCCCTGGCTGGGTCAGGAGGATCCTTGCAATGATCCTCCTGCCTCAGCCTCCAAGCGCTGGGATGACAGGCGTGTGCCGCCACACCTGGCTCTGACCTCTGCACTTTAAAATCTTCCCCTCTCCCCATGGTGAGGCTGAGGGATTCCAAGGCAAGATTCTCTAAAAGGTTTGTGTCACAGTCTTTGCTGAGTGGTAACAAGCACCTGTCATCCAGCACTCTGGGAGGCTGAGGCAGGAGGATCTCAAGTTTCAGCCCAGCCTGGGCAACTTAGGGGCTTCGCAAGATCCGTCTCAAAAGGTGAAAAAGCCTGGGGGTGCTGCTCAGTGAGAGAACCTTGGCTTCCATCCCCAGCGCTACAACACACACACACACACACACACACACACACACACACACATCCTGAGGTTGTGCAAATTCAGGCTCCCGCTTGTCTGCCATGCCCGGCTCTTCCCTCCACGGGGCCCAGATTCACACACTGTGTTTTCCCCTAGGAAGCAAAGCCCTGGGGCCGGAACCTGGCTGGGGACAAGATCTCACACACAGGTAGGTCCCCTCATATCTGTCTTCGCTCCTCTGGGCACGATGTCCTGGTCATGCTGGGTATCTGAGGGCTGGTCTCCTCCAGGGATGGCAAGGACTGTGCTTGGTCTTCCGCACCCCTGGCCCATTTTCATGAAGGGCACAGCAATTGCTGAGGGCAGAGCTAAGTCTGGGCTGGGACGTCGAGCTGAAAGCTGTGGTCTCAGTCCACTTTCTGGTGCTGTAACAGAGTGCAGGAGGCAGGGTGTTTTATAAAGAAGAAAGGTTGGTTTGGCTTCCAGTTCTGAGGGGAGATTGGTGACCGCGTCCAGTCAGGGCCTCAGCAGGACAGCAGGACACATGGCATTCCAGGCAGGGGTGACCCGTTACGCCAGAATTCCAGGGCCAGACAGGGCCTGGCGGGGGCCTCTCTGCTCTTGTTTAAATTTTGAGACAGGGTCTTGCTGAGTTACTAAGTGCCCAGGCTGGACTTGGACTTGCAGCCTTCCTGCCTCAGCCTCCCAGAGCGCTGGGGTGACAGGCGTGTGACACCACCTCCGACTGCTTAACTTTGTGTTAGGATTGTGGAGAGAAGGGAAAAGCCGGGGGGCACTGGCAGGGCACCTATGGGGGTGCCATGAGAGAGATGCCAGCGAGCGTCGCCCCCACTTGGGTTGTTGGTGTGGGGCTGGGATACGCTCTCACTTCCTGTAGAAATGAAAAAAAAAGGTAGAAAGTGGGTCAGAGCCCCCAGACCCTCTCTACCTCATTCAGGGCTTAATTATAAGATAAGGTCTCCCTGCGAAGCTCAGGCTGGCCTTGGACGTGCAGAGATCCTCCCGCCTCAGCCTCCCTTTGTATTTGGATGACAGGTGTGAAGAGGGACACTGTGTGGGTGTCCTTGGGAGCTCCTGGCATGGCGCGGGTCGGGGCCAAGGTTGGTCATGTGGAGCCCGAGACCCCTGCTGTGGGGCCTGGGATCAGGTCCCTTTCTCTGTGACCCGGGGACGCATGGAGCTTTTGTGGAGGGCGACCGAGGCTTTTCCTACTCTATCAACAAACACAGCAGTAGCAGTGCCAGCGCCAGCCATGCTCAGCCCTTTAGCTCCCCCAAAGCACGGGACAGGCAGCGTGGGCTCCTCCTCACCCCGCAGAGCCCGGCGCCTGCAGGCTGGGCCTTCTTCCCTGAGCCGCAGTCTGCAGGACAGCCCTGTGCACCCGGGAGGCCACAGCCGCAGGGCTGCATCAGCTGCTTTGACTTTCTGGGGTGCAGAGGGGGCTGTAATCCTGACCCTAGGAGAGGCGGATGCAGGAGGGTCGCCAGTTCGGGGTCAGTCTGGGCACTTTAGTGAGACCCTGTCTCCACCTAAAAGCTGAAAAGGGCTGCCGATGGGGTCAGTGCAGGGCGGTGCGCAGCCGCCCCCAGCCGCCCCCAGCCCAGGGTGGGCGGGGCTGCAGTTACCGCCAGCGGCCAGCAGGGGGCAGGGGAGGAGCGCGAGTTCAAGGGACGGGCGCGCTGTGCGGGTGGTCTTAAGAGAGCTGAGGTTTGTCTTTCCGTCTGTCTGTCTGTTTTTTTTGTCTTTTTGAGGCAGGGTCTCGCTGTGCAGTCCAGGCTGCCTTGAGCTCACTGTGTAGCCAGGCTGGTCTCGAACTCGCGGCAATCCTCCTGCCTCGGCCTCCTGAGTGCAGGGCTTACAGGCCTGCGTCTCCACGCCCGGCTGAGCTCAGCCCTTTCCGCTGTGCCCAGTGCTGAGAGGCCGGGCCCGGCTGGCCCTGGATGTCCCCTGCGGGCCCCTCTGGTCCCGGGCGTGTCTGTTATCAGTTCTCTCCTGGACAAGCCGTTCCGGGGCCGCTGTCTGCACGGGGGTCACCTGAGGGCAGTGCTGTCCGCAGGGGCCACTGAGCAAGGTCTCAGGCCCGTGCAGCTGTCACATCTGGGGAGCTCTGGAGCCAGCCGGGGTGCCCTGGGCGCCCCCCACCAGTGAAGGAACGGGGGGGGGGGCTATCCGGGGACCCGGCTGCTGGGTCTGAGCCTTCTGCCCCCCCCAGGGGGGTGACACTGGGGGCGCTGTCTCAGGACCTCAGCGGGGCAGGCAGTCGCGGTATGCGCGGAGGAGGTCACTTGGGGTCCCTGGCACCCCTTGATTGAGGGGGTCTTATCTGGGCATCGTTTTGCCCCCAGCAGCTGTTCACAGCTGCCAGGATTTTGGGGGGATGTCACTGGCCCCCACCCGACGATACCCACTGGGCCCGCCCCCAAATGCCCGCAGCGCCCCTGCCACGGGACCTCGCACCGCTCTGCTCCTCTGAGCCCTGAGGGCCCAGCTGTCCTCCTAGAGCCATGACTGCCCCATTTTCCTGACTTGTAAATCGAGGCCCAGTGAGGTTCCCATCTGCCATCCAGGAGTGGGGACCCCTGGTGGGGGTGGAAGGAGCCCCAGCGTCGCCCACGTGCCCCCTGCTCAGTGCCCGGCGGGCCCAGCTGGCCAGGAAGCCCGAGCAGACCCAGAGCACGCGTGGGGGTGACGGAGGGCTGCAGAGCCCCGGGGGCGCCAGGAGGGCGGAAGGGGCTCCTTGCGGGTGGGCGTCGCCGCGCAGCATGTCCGCGGCTCAGGCCACTGTTGGGACTGACCACCAGGAGCCGGGGCTGTCACGCCCGGGCTCAGGCTGATGTCACAGCCTGAAAAGGATTATTAAAAGACGTTATGAGCTGGGGGTGGGGAGTCACTGTCCCATGGGTCCCCCGGATTTCCAGTTTGCAAGATGACACATTTTAGCTGCATCAAGGGTGGTGTGGAAATGCTTCCTGCTCCTCAGGGGCGCACACAGGAGGGGGTGAAAAGGGAGATTTTGTCACATTTTTACCTCAAGGGGAGGGATGGAGGTGAAGGAGGTGTCTAAGAGGCTCCTGAATTCTCCTGCCAGCCCCAATAAAGAAGGTACCTGGCGTGGCAGCACTCTGGGAGGTGAGGCCGGAGGGCTGCAAGTTCAAGGCCAGCCTGAGCAGCTTAGTAACTCAGGGAGACCCTGTTCCAAAATCAGAAGTACAAAGGGCTGGGAATGGAGCTCAGTGGGAGGATGCTAGGTTCAACCCCCAGTGCCACAATAACAAAAAACAAATAGTCAATTTGTAAGCAGCCTGTGGAGACCACAAGGCAAAGGCCCAGAGTGGCCTCTGGTTGGCACCGAGCCCCTCTCAGCAGCCAGCAGGACAAGGGCTTCTTCCCCACACCACCAAGGAAAGAGACCCTCACAGCAGCCCAGTGGGGCTGAGCAGAGCACCCCAACTTCTAGACAAGAACTCAGCACAGCCAATGCCAAGGCTCAGGCTTGGGAGACTCCGAGAAGAGGACCCAACTGAGCCGAGCTGTACGTGGGCATCACTTTGGTGATTTGTTACGAGGCTGTGGCTGACCCATACACTTTCTGCCTTGAAACAGAGTTAATTATCTCCATTCCAAAGATGAGAAAATAGCTGAGTCACTTGCCTGGAGCCAGATGACAACTGGTGACATTTAAATTAGCTGTGACTGTCACCCGGGCCAGACCATGGGTTCGATGAGGTCAGGGATCTGGTGCAAAGCCTCCACGATAGCTAGAGAGTGAGAGAGAGAAGAAATGAGCCCGGTGTGGTGCTGTCATCCTCACCACTCAGGAGGCTGAGGCAGGAGGGTTTGGCACTGAGGCAGCCTGGGCGCCTGGCAAGGACGAATGAGACGGGCGAGTCCTGGGGTTGATCTCATGCTGCAAAATAAGAGAATAAAGGGGGCCAAGAAGAGAGAGCAGGCAGCGGGCTGTGGGGCGAGGCGTCAGTCACCGACTGGTGGCCGGGACCAGGACCGCCGGGGTGCCCGGGGACTCGGCTCCGCTGCTGAGCCAGCCGCCCGCGAGGGCTGAGCTCAGCGCTCCTGGAGCGGGACATTCTGTCCCCGCGCCCTGACTGACGCCCGGCTGATTCACAGCCGTGCCTGCAACGGAGGCCGGGCGGGCGCGGTCACCCTCCGACCCACGTGTGCCCGGGAGCTCCGAGCCTCGGGAGGGCACACGGAGCGGGCGGCCTGGCCAGCTGCCGGCAGTGGCTGTCCTTGAGGCCGGAGGAGCCGGCGACGGAGGGAAGGGAGGTGGCGGCCGTGACTGTGTCTCCAGAGTCCTGCGGGCCGCGCGGGTGGCCCGGCCCTGCAGGGTGCTGAGCGGTGTCCCTGGCCCTTCTTGTTTATTTCTTATTTCTTATTTTGAGACGAGGGCGCACGAAGTGGCCCAGGCTGAACTCAGACCTGCGATGCTCCTGCCTCAGCCTCCCAGACCCTGGATGACACACATGCGCCACCACACCAGCTAATAACATGCGACGTTGTAACTGTCCAGGCGCCCAGCTCAGTGGCACTGAGCGCCTTGCGTGGCTGTCACCACCGTTCACTTCCAGAACTTTCTATCTCCCAAGCTGAACCCATGAGACACCGCCAACTTTTTCCTCTTCAGCCCCAGCACCCGGAGTCTTCATTTCTCCGTCCTGGGTGCTTTCTGTCCACAGAGCGCATGCTGTGTGGCCATCTGTGTCCGGCGTCTCTCACTGAGCACGGTTTCCTTTAGGTCCAGCCACACTGTGGCGGTGACACAGCTGCACTCCTTTTCCTGGGCATATAATATTCCAGTCTGTGACTGGGCTTGGCTGTGTGTCCCTCTGTCCATCTGTGACACGGGAGCTGTTCCCACGTTCGGGCTGTTGGGAAGCTTGTGTTACAGTAGACCCAGGTGCACAAATAGTCACTGTCTCCCTGTTTGGGGTGCTTCTGGGCACAGTGCCCAGCCTGTCCTGAGCCCAGCCTCTGGTCCTCTGACCACCTTCTGAACACTGCCCTGGATCAAGACGTGCCCAGGCCCTGCCACCTGCCCTGGGCCCGCGTGCCTCCAGGAGGAAGCTGGCTTTTATCACCACCGCAGCGGGAAGCCTCAGAGGGCAGCTCGGGGTTCCCTCTCAGCTGTGTCCCCTTCCCCAAGGCGCCTGACCTGGCCATCTCCGAGTT